TGAGGCGGGCACGCAGGGAGGTGCTGGAGAAGAGGTTCAGCTGGTAGGACGGGTCAAGGGGCAGGATGGAGATGAGCCACCAGCACCATGTCGGGCCATCTGCCGAAGCCTGGAGGGGAGAGAGGAAGAGATCCCCACATCAGGAACTGCAAGGTGAAGGCATCGCTGATGGGAAACATTTGCTCTTGTCAGGATAGCAATGCCAGCTTTGGCTAAGGTATTCCTCTGAATGGCCCTTTTGTCTATCCAGGCTCAAAACTGCTGGATAAACTCATTTAATTTCCAGACAAGCATTTCCCAGGGAGTCTCCAGACACAGACATAATGGGGGAAAACCTATACTAAAGAGACAAAGAATTGTCTTGCGCGTTTCCTTGTTTAAGGCAATGCTTTTTGTCAACATGGGGCAAATCCTGCGGGGTCAGTGCCTTTTGCGGCATTTGCCTCAAAGAGGCGAGGTGCAGGCCAGGCCAGGCACAACCACTGGCCAGTGGTTTTTTAAACCAAACCTGAGCCAAACTAAGAGGGAAATGCTTGATTCAGCTGAGGGAGAATGAATAATTTTGTAATGTTGAGCACAGCATTGATGCAACTGCTGGCCAGGACAGTCTTAGCCTGGGACAAGCCAGGAAGAGCATATTTATAGTGATCCAGGCAGGAAACACTTTCTTAAAGGAGTGAACACTAAATCTGGGGTGTTTTTTTTTCCTCTCCAGAATCTGAATTTGTCTGAGCAACTTAATAAGCAAACTAGATCCTGCCCTCTTAGCTCCTCTGGCCAGCTATGGCTGTCTCAAGGGAACACAATGAGAAAGGAGACCACAGACTCGCTGAGCTGTGGGGTTCGTTTCTTTGCCCATTTTGGGTTTTTTTTCCCCCCCAAGTGTTTTCAAATCCAGGCAGTTCAGTTTCTTGGTTGTCATTTAGGAAGAGAGTCTGGGAAAGCTTTTAAAACTCAGCGCTGTTACCAAGAACAGTTTAAAACCATAAAGAAACATTAAACAGTTTAACAAACAAGCCCTAGCACATCTCTGAGAGATGCCATAACAGGAGTGAAAAACAGGGTTTGTTTTGCTCATCCTGGGGGGGCAGCCGAGCAGGGCGGTCAGCACAGGAACGGCGCTGCTCCCCAGGCTCTCTTGGTATCCTTGCTACCCAGAGCATCCCTTCCCTCGGGGCATTACCTGGATGTCCTCTTCCTTCTCCGGCAGCGGCCCGTGCTGCATCAGAATGTGCCTGGATGCAAGGTCCCCGTGCTCACAGAACCGCTGAGCCAAGCGGTAGGTGCTTTCGTGCAGGCACTGCAGCTCCTGCAGCTCCTCCCCGGTCACCTGCGTGGAGGGAAGAGGAATGCAGAAGGTGTCCCTGGGGAGGCTTCGTCCCACCACAGCGGGGGCTTTTGCCCTGGTCCTGCCCTCACCTTCTTGTCCTCCAGGTACTCAATGTCGGCAGTGTTGTAGCCATCCCTGTGTCCGCGTCTCAGCACCCGGAATCGCCTCCTGCCGATGGTGTCCACCAAGGACCTCCCATCCGCCAGCAGCTCGATCTGCCTAATCTCCAGCATGCAGCCATAGTCAGCAAAACTGGAGGGAGCCAGGGAGAGAAAAGAGGAGCTGAGCTGGGATACCAGTGGTGGGAGAGCTGCTTCTCCTAAAGGCACCACCTCCAAGGAGAAAAAGGCCCAGGAACAAGCTGGCTGAGAAGGGGAAAATTCGGAGATTCACTCAACTCTGTTGAGTGACCACTTGCTGCTAAGAGGGCAGGGAATAGCGAGCACACTGTCCACGCTTCCTTGGATTTGCCTTATACCAATGACTTGAGTCCTCACACTGCCCTCATGTCCAGTGGTCCTGAAGACAACATCCATTGCAAAGACATCCTCCCAAAGCCCAGAAAATCTTATTATCTCATTTCATTTGAACGGGACTGAAGCACAGGGAGGACATGTCATGTAAATACAGGTATTTAACAGAGTGCTTGGCTTAGGAACCTGGAGACTGAGCCCACCCGAGATCTGGAGGTGCCACCAGGAACATAAGGATGGCCACACTGCACCAAACAGAAGCCCATTTAGCCCAGTGTCCTCTCATAGCTTGTTGAGGACAGAGTATGAGAAATATGGCAATTTTGAAGTGTTCACTAAGAGGAGCTGGACGGCGTGGCCAGGGAACCATGCAGTTCAGAGATGTCCCGAGCCAGAAGCTGTTCCCAGACTGTCATGTTTGACAGCTACCGCTGGCTCTGCCCAGTTCCAGCCCTGGCCCCATTCCTCGCCTGGCCGGTACGACGCCAGGAGGCAGCAAGATCCCGTTTCCCTCTGCCATGTGGGGAACGCACCACCTCCCTGCTGATTTTATCTGCGGAGTGCAGTGGGATAGGAAATTTCACCTTGTTCCTCCTCTCTGAAGTACTCAGGATTTTAGACATTTGGGACTGGGGCAGAGAGGGGAAAATCAGCCGGGGCAGAAGGAAGCCACCTTGCTCGGGAACTCACCTTTTCCCATTCTCGTATATACACATGCCGAACCTCCTTGTGCCAGTCTCCTGGCACCGTCGGATCATGAGGCGGTAGCGAGGTTCGAAGACGTGCAGAGGGCAGGCAATGCCTGGGAAGGACATCGTGCATACAAAGATGGGGATGTTCTTGGTCAGGCTGAGGGACAGGAGGAGAGACCACTCTGAAACCTTCCAGAACAAATCCCATCCCAAGAGTTCTGCATCAGCTGCTCCCCCAAACCAGATGTGTTCCCAAGAAGTGATGCTCTGGCACCGAGCAACACCAAAGCTTCCATTTGGCTCACCAAGAGCCAAAGGACAGACCCTGCCCACAAAACAGCTCCTTGAAGAGATGCTCTCTCGTCCCCAGGTGCCCCATGGGGCACCTCCACACCCACCCGGCACTGCTGTGACATGGTCCGAGAAGTGGGACAGACATCACTTGAGCAGAACCAAGCCAGAGCAATGGTATGTGGTGTGGGCAGCCCCCCCTTGAGCCCCTCCCAGCCCCTGTGCATGCACACACATGCACATGCGTGCACACGCAGGCAGGAGCGGGTCCCTGCTTACTTGGAGAGCTCTGCCATCTCAGCCTGGTGCAGCTCCCAGCGCTCGGCCACCTGAGCGGGGAAGGTGGCCAGCATGATGTCCTGCAGCAGCAAGGTGGGGCTGTAGCTTCCAGCCTTCAGGTACTGAAAAAAATTAGACCCAGAAATAGGTTGGAGAGGAGCAAGGGGGTAAGCCCTGAAGGCCCTGCCGGGCTCTGAATCACGCTCACTTTTATTGGAGCTGAGGGGGATGTCGAGCCATCTAGCAGGACAGGATGTCAGCTCCACCGAGACCTCCAGACATGGCTCAGACCCAAGGCCCATCCAGCGCAGCATCCTGTCTCTGACAGTGATGCAGCCCTTGTATGACAACCTAATTTCCCTGACGGTCTCATCCGAGTCCCTTTTCATTAAAGATTAAATCAAATCTCCAGGCTAGCAGGTTTTCCATCCATTTCCATTTTTAAAAGTAATTAGTGTTCGCTTCTTTCTCTCTCTCTCTCTCTCTACCTCTCAGTCCTGTTTACAATCTCACTAAATCACTGTGGCATCTTGTGGAAATGAATCTCTTGGTCTTAATTATCAACGCTCTGGTCATTCCCACGTGAGTGGAGCTGACGCTGCTGTGCCAGGGAACCACTAAGATGAGAGCGTCGCACCGTCCCACCCCAGCCCTGGGCACGCCGCCAGCAGCCGGAGCTGGTCCCCGTCTCTCCCTTGGGCTCCCTCCCGTGGGACGCAGGTCCTCACCTCTCTCAGGCTCTGTTTGCAGAGGGGGCAGTTGGGCCGGTGGTCCAGGCAGCGTTCGAGGCACTCCTTGCAGAAGGTGTGCCCGCACGGCGTTGTTACCGGCTCGAAGAACATCCTGCAAAGGGACCAAAGTCAACGGACCACAGACAGCCACACAGGGGGAGGAGTGCAGGTATGCCCAGCAAAGAAACTGGGTGCCCTCAAAACTGTCATTCCCCAGGCTTGCCTCAGCACCCTGCTCTGGAAACCCCGGCTGGCCTCAGCCTCACAGCAGGGGAGTCCCACAAAGCGCTCAGGGACTTGCAAAGGCCCAGGATGGTGCTGCAAGGGTCAAGAAGATCAGGGTGGGCAAAGCTGTAGGTGCAGCTTCTGGCTCTCCCCAGCCTTGTACCTGCATCTTCCTTGAATCACCTTGCTGAGAGCAAGCGATTTTGCTTCCAGCGGGAAGGAGACATTCCCCATGACCCCTCCCACCATTTCAAGGGAAATCTGCTGCCTTCACCAGCCTTTTGCACTGAAGACAGCGATGATGCAGGGATGCGACACCATGGAAAGTTGCCGTGTCTTCCAAGACCTGGCAGCCCATGGCTATGAAGCTCACCTTCACTAAAGCTTTGCTCATAACTGCTGTTAATCAAATGTAAAGGCTCCTAACTGGCTTGTTCCTTTAATTCAAAGTCTGGGCTCAGACGGTTGGACTTGCACAGTGATGTAAGATGAGAAGTGTCCCAGGCCTGGGCACTGCTCCCCATCCCCACAGGGTCCCCACTGACCCCATCAGTACACACATGGCACCCCTTGGTCCTGGCAGGGCTGTGGTTCCCCAGATGCCCACAGCGGTGTGTAGCCCAAAAGGCAGCGATGGGAAAGTGCCTCCTTCCCCCTGCTCCAGGAGCAGAGCCAGCAGCAAGCACTCAGGTTGTTCACAGGTACCTCCAGGATTAGAAATTAAATTAAGGTCATGGGAAAGCCCCGATCAGCACTGAGCCCTGACTCCTCCTGAACATTATGTTTCCCTGCTCTCAGAAGAGACTTAAATTCATTTAATTCAGATCAGATACAGCCTTGATCTCTCCCTCCCCTGTGTCATTCCCCCATGCCATGTCCAGACCTGGAAAAAGCTGCCATATAGGAGACCCTGACCATCTTGCATGTCTGGCAGTGCAACATCCAGCCCTCTGCCAGCAGCCGCTTGCACAACTGCTCAAGGTCCTGGGACACACCAGACACAACAGCCTGGTTTCAGCATGCCCTGTGGCAGCACCCAGCCCTTCCCTGGCCCCGAGTCAGAAGACAGACGCAGGCTCTACCTGGTTCCCTCTTCCACATCCAGGCACAGAGCTCAGCAATGCTCCCCCCTGGGTTTGCAATACCCCTGTGGCTGATGGTATTTCCCTGGGGCAACACCTTCCTGTTCCAGCCTGCAGTTACGAAGG